AATTTTCTTGAAAATTTTTGTAGAATTGGTAGTTCTTAATCAAATGTTTGGTAGTCTTAATCAGTGAGGCCATCAGGGCCTGGTGATTTCTTCATGGGAGGATTTCTAACAAAAAATTCAATTTATTTAATAGATGTAGGCCTATTAAAGATATAGATCTGTTTAGGTCATCTATTTCTTCCTGAGGGAGTTTTGGAAGGTTTTGTCTTATAAGGAATTCATCCATTTCATCTAAATTGTTAGATTTATTGGCATGATGCTGTTCATAAAACTGCATTATTGTCCTTTTAATATCTGTAGGGTCTGTAGTGATGTTACCACTCTCATTTCATTGGTAATTTATGTCTTGTCTCTTTTTTCTGTATTGGCCTACCTAGAGTTTTATCAATTTTATTTATCTTCTCAAAGAATCAGCTTTTGGTTTCACTGATTTTCTCTCTTGTTTTTCTGTTTTCAGATTTCACTGATTTCCATTCTGGTCTTTATTGTTTCCTTTCTTCTTCTTACTTTGATTGTAATTTGCTCTTCTTTTTCTAGTTTTTTAAGGTGGGAGATGGGGTGTTTGGCTTGAAATTTTTCTTTTCTAGCATAGACATTTGTGCTATAAATTTTCCCTTTATGTACTGCTGTAGTGACATTCCACAAATTTTGACATGTTGTGTTTTCATTTTCATTAAGTTCAAAATACTTTTAAATTTTCTTTTCGTTTTTTTTCTTTGACCCATGGTGTATCAGTCAGGATTCTCCCAAGAAAGAGAACCAATAGGATAAGAGGAGATTTATTTATTTATTTTTTTAAAAAAGATTTTATTTATTTATTTGAGAGACAGAGCACACGAGAGGGGGGAGGGTCAGAGGGAGAAGCAGACTCCCCGCTGAGCAGGAAGCCCGACGCGGGACTCGATCCCGGGACCCCAGGATCATGACCCGAGCCGAAGGCAGTCGCTCAACCAACTGAGCCACCCAGGCGCCCCTAAGAGGAGATTTAGTATAGGAATTGGCTCATGGCGTTATAGAGGTCAGGAAGTCCCACAATCTGGTGTTCGCAAGCTGGAAAATCAGGAAAGCCAATGATATAATTTAGTCTGAGGCTGAAGGCCTGAGAACTGGGGGTAGGGGGAGTCTGGAGGGGTTGGGCCCCACTGGTATAAGTCCTGGAATCCAAAGCCCTGAGAATCAGGAGCTCCAATGTCTGTCCAATTGTCTTTTTAGATAATCTGCATCATACTGAAAAGTTTGAAAAGGAAAGATCCCTTAAGCAACCACTACTAATTTGTTTTTTCTCTTGAGTAACGTCAGATGTTCAGATTTTGCCCTCTACCTTAGCAAATTGCCCTGCAATCATCTGTAAATTGTTGGGAACTTCGTATAACTGCTAATGCATATCAGTGCAGGCTGGGCTGGGGGCCGGGGTGGAGAAGAGCATCAGGATACTCTATCGAGGCAACGCAGAGAGGGAGCATGATCTATTGGTAATATATAACCCTCCTGAGGCTCTGGAATTTGGAACCAACCACTCAAGGAGATCCTGGATAATTTCAAAAGTGGAGTTTTTATGGGAAATTTTAAGAGTGAGTGTGTGTGTGTGTGTGTGTGCGCGCGCGCGTGCGCGCATGTGTACACATGCATGCTTACATGCCCTTCCTTTATAACAGACGCTGGGGAAAAGAAGCAAGAGACCTCGGTTACAGCTGACAACTACTTATGTCATTAGATTTTATGTGAGCTTGTTAGACACACAGTAAAAACCATCTCAACCACTTATTGTTGAACCTTAGACGAAGGGATAAAGGAAGAACGGGGGAAACAATAAAGAAAAGTTTCAAAGAGATACAATGAACCTTTATGTTTGCTCTTGATGGGGACAAAGATAACCTTCCCACATACCCCAAACTCTTGGGAAGTAAGACTTGGAATCCAGTTCCAAATTATACATAGACAGTGGCATCTACTTAAGGATTTCCTGCTTATATCTCCTCTCTAAAGTCAGTTGGAGTGGCCACACTCTGAAAACCAGGAAGGTCAAAGATAATTCAGTACTATGAGATAAAGAAAAGTTTGTTAAATTTCATACCCTTCAAAGAAAGCAATTTGGAAGTTGTCACCTAGGTACCATGCATTCATTAAATACTGTGATGAAATCACAATGACAAAAATCAATGTTTAAGCCCTAAACTTCCTTAAAAATTGACTTAAAAGGGGCGCCTGGGTGGCTCAGTTTGTTAAGCATCTGACTCTAGATCTCAGCTCAAGTCTTGATATCAGGGTCATGAGTTCAAGCCTTGCACTGGGCTCCACTCCTGATGTGGAGCCTACTTAAAAAGAAACTGACTTAGAAATATCTGGCCATGTTGTCCCCATTTGCCACCAAACCAAGGATAATTAACTTGTCCCCAGTGATGGAAAACATAAGGGCTAAAAGCAATAGCTGTACCAAGAATCCCAGGAACAGAAGAAGTTAGTCTCAACTACTGTTCTTTTTCTAACTGTCAACCAGTATTATGGAATGAATGTCCACACACTGTCATGTTAGCTTAGCTTCTACAAGCCCCAGAGTATCAGTGGGTTCTGAAAAACCCACTGAAAAGAAAAGAGAACAAAATGCAAGGATATCTACTTTACATTTGGGCATTCTAATTTATTGCTGTCATTTAATGATAATAAGCCTAAACCATCTCATACAAGAGAAGACATATGCATAGCAGATCTATGGAAGGAAAGAATGAATCCATAGGCTGGTAAGTTAGTTGCAAAGGGATGTACATCATCCAGGGGTCAGGACATGGACTCTCCTACATGTTGATCCTAATCTAGGTGAGTTCCATGGGTTGTGGATACCGGTTACTTTGGCCCACCCAGTGTCTCTACTGTCTTCCCCTGGGTGGTGTGCTCTGGGTTTCTTTGGGAAACCACCTCTCCCTCATTCAGTCCACGTGGTCTGGGTGGGGATGACCCAACTCTAGCTCCTGCTGTGGGTAGGAGACCCAGGTCTGCTGACCCATCCCAGAATTTCATCCAACTGCTACAGAGACTGGTGTGAGGATAGGTATGTGACCTAAGCTGGGCCAATAGAAGCATTACCTGGGACCTCTGCAGGGAGGGGCTGTTAGGAAGGAGGAACTCTCTCTGAGGGGTAGATAAGCAGGAAGGACTGAATCCTGGAGCAGCTGGTGACCATCTTTGCCACCATAATGGGAAAGCCTGCTTGAGAGGGAAATGAACCCAGGAAAATGCAGAGCCACAGGAAGAGAGACTGAGGCCCAAAACTATCATCTTAACCCCTGGACCCAGCCTTGAATCCCTACACCTCTTGATTACATATGCTTAAAAATTCCTTTTTTGGGGGTGTGTGGGTGGCTCAGTTGGTTGAGTGTCTTGACTCTTGGTTTTGGCTCAGGCCATGATCTCAGGGTTGTGAGATTGAGACCTATGTTAGGCTCCTCACTCAGCAGGGAATCTGCTTGAGATTCTCTCTCCCTCTACCCTTCCCCTTATTCATGTGTGCGCTCTCTCTCTAAAATAAATAAATCTTTAAAAAATTACTTTTTGTTTTCGGGCGCCTGGGTGGCTCAGTTGGTTAAGCGACTGCCTTCGGCTCAGGTCATGATCCTGGAGTCCCGGGATCGAGTCCCGCATCGGGCTCCCTGCTCAGCGGGGAGTCTGCTTCTCCCTGGGACCCTCTTCCCTCTCGTGCTCTCTCTCTCTCAAATAAATAAAATCTTTAAAAAAATAAAAAATTACTTTTTTTGCTTAAACTAGTTGGAGTTGCATCTTCTATCTTTTGAAGCCAAAAAGTCCTAATAAAAGGGATTCTTTTTTTTTTTTAAAGATTTTATTTATTTATTTGAGAGAGAGAGAGCACACACAAGCAGGGGGAGGGGCAGAGGGAGGAGGAGAAGCAGATTCCCCACTGAGCAGGGAGCCTGATGCAGGGTTCAATACCAGGACCCTGGGATCATGACCTGAGCCGAAGGCAGACGCTTTACCAACTGAGCCACCCAGGCACCCCAATAAAAGGGATTTCTGAAGCTGATGCGCTATTGAAAACATACACGTATGAGGATTTTTAAAAAGATTCTAGAATTCTCGATGAGAGAACCAAGGTCTGATGGCCACTGTCCTTCTGTTCTCAAATGGGTTTTAGATAACATAATCTCAGCTATGTTTGACTACTGAATATCCAGCAGTACTGGTTATGGAGCCCAACAGGCCTGTGTTCAAATCCCAGTTCCGCCAACCACTAGCAAGTTACTTATCACTCTGATCGTCATTGTTCTTATGTGGAAAAGAGGGGGTACCTGAAAACCAGTTTTTGTGAGGATTGTGACTTTCCTTATCACAGTCTGTAATTCTGTATTTATGTGATTATTTGATTCCTGTCTGCAAGAATGATGTCTACGTTGTACTATATTTTATTTCCTAAACTAAATAGTACCTGGACAACAGCAAATATTTATAAATATTTGTTGAATCAATATATAAATAAGTGAAATGAGAAAATCACATAGATATGTGCTTGGCACATTGCAGATGGGCAACAAATACTAGTTTCCCTTCTTTGAGGACCAGGGCTCACCAACTCCAGTGTCCACATGGGCCAGGCAGGTAATGAACCTGAAGTACATTGGCCAGATGTGCAATTGTGTGTGCCCTGTCTGAATGGGGCAGATATTACTCAGCCAGCCAAGAGTCGTCACTTAGGAAGGTAGACCTAAGTGACCAGGTCCAGATTTGCTTTCAAGAGAAGACCAGATCTACTTTCAAGGGAAAGCATAAATTAGAATTTTTAGGTAAAAATTTTAAACATGGGTACAATTAAAGACACACACACACACACACACACACACACACACACAGAAAGGCCAACAAAATATATACGAGGACTGGATTTAGCTCTTGGGTGACCAGTTCATTACAACTGGGACCCACGTTCAGCCCATCCCTCCTATGAGAGCTCAGATTACAGCCACCAATAACCACAGGAGAGCGACTGTACTTACCGCCAAGCAACTCAGAACTCTGGTTGGGGATGCTGTGAGATGCCTCCTGGAGGACATAGGTGGATGTGGAGAGGGGAGAAGGGCAGATGCTGCTGGCCGAGACGTAAGGAGGGCTGTAGGATGAGCTGTAATACTGGGAATACTGGCTCTGAGGGAAGCCAGGGTAGGAAGGATAGTCCTGGAAAGGGAGACACACACAAGGCGCTGAGTGAGGAAGCCTGTCTGGCCATGGGCCTTCCGTCCGCCCAGTCACAGGCTGACAGTGGCATGGGGCCTCATGGGGTGGGTCTCCTGTGTCTGTCTCCGTTTCTCCCACTAGAATAAAAGCTCCATGAGGGCAGGGACTTGCCCCAGATGCAGACCCCAAGACAAGGATGCAAGTGCAAGTATTTGGGAGGTGAACGAGACACCAGTTGCAGGAATGGGGAAGTGAGACAGGAAAGGGAAGAAGGAAAAGCAGCTGATCTGGGGGCTTTTAAGTGGGCACTGGAGGGAATTCCCCTGGAAAACACTGGGATGTTATAAAACACACCCTCAGAATGATCTCTCCCAGGGGCAAGAGAGCTGGGCTGTTCATCCACCAACTCCAGCCAGGTTTTTTTTGAGAGCTGCTCCCAGTGGTCTTCATTCCCTGGCACTTCCCTCCTGCCCTGTGCTCTGGTCCTAGGGAACACCCTCGAGCCCTGGGATGCAGAGGTCAGCAGGTGCCCCCTGAGGGATGTGGGTGTGGCTCTGTCAGTGTCTGTCTTGATTGCTGTTATATCCCTAGCACCTGGAACAGTGCCGGGCACACAGGGGAGCTCAATAAATACTAGATAAATCAATAAACCAATGAATGAGTGATAAGGACCACATACACACATACCAGGAGACTAGGTGACATTTTAAGTGCACGAGGCATACAGATACAGCAGCACCTATATACAGCATTAGAGATCCAGAATCTTCTATGAGGAAGTCTCAGAGATCAAATCAAAGAATGCCAATCCCCTTTTGATCAAGCTTTGCTTAAACCAGCCAGATATTCCAGCTCTCCCACACCATTGTTTCAAATATTCCGAACAAATCGTTTCAAATATTCTGCCCCACCATCACCATAAACTGATGCTTCTCAACCCTGTGAAAACTTACGGGAAGTTCAGCTTCCTGGACCCCACCCCAGCCCTACAGAATCGGAATTTCTGGAGGTGGCATTGAGAGAATCTCCGTTTTTGACAAGCTCCTCTTGGTGAAACGGGCAGACTGGAAATAATACAGAAATACAGACACCATCTCCCAATCTTTCAAGGTTTAAATCATTTAGATTCTCCAGCTCACTGAAGAAGAAATAGTGCATTCCTCATATTTAAATGTTAAATATTCCATAAAGCCAGCCTACTCTGTAGTTTTGTCTTAAGGCTAGCCTGAAAGCATGTTAACCTTTTGTTCTGAAATAATTCTAGACTTAATAGAAGAGGTGCACAAATAGGACAGAGTTCCCACTCTCATTCTGAATTTAATCTCTAAGTGAAAACAAGACAATCAAACTACTGGCCAGTGTTCATCTTCACAGGGTTGACCCGGTGTGATTTAACAAGCATTTATAAAGCCCCCACTGTGTGCTGGGCACTTGGCACTGGAATGCAGAAGTAAAGATGATGGATTCTCATGCTTGAGAAGGTCAAGAGAACATATGCATTTGCATTCATACATTCTAGATTCAACAGTCACTGGGCATCTCGGGCTCAGGTCAAGACGGAATATCGCCTACATCATCTTGGAAATCCACCAGTGATTCCAATTTCTCTGTCTCTACTCTGTATCTTTCAGATGGCCTTTTGCACAATCTGACTCCTGCGGTATCTAAACCCAGGGAATAAGAGACTGCATTTGTGGTGGGGGTTGTGGGTGGGAGTGGATTCTCAGGGTGCCCTGATTTAAGGGGGCTGTTTAAGGAAAGGGAATACAAGTGGTGGGGAGCGACGTCTACCTGGTGCACACTTCCAAATCCGGCTGCGTTGGTCAGGCCATTTGCTCCTTGGTAGATCCCCGCCGTGCCTGCAGGAAGGAGGAACGGGTACAGATGAGGTTTCTTACAGTCAGAGAGGGACGTGGAGGAGAAAAATGTGGCAGACAGGTGCGCTCTTTGAGGGCTGACAGATGGGGATGGAACCTGTGACCTCAGCAAGTTACCAAATCTCTCTGATGCTCAGTTCTGTCAATTATTGAATAAAAAGTAACTCCTCCTTCAAAGGATTATGGTGAGCAATAAATGAGACAGTGCATGCAATACAGATTCTGGCTCTCAATAATTAGGTTTACAAAAAATATCTATTTAAAAAATTGTGGTAAGTGTACATGACATAAAGTTTACCATTTTAACTATTCCTAAGTGTACAGCTGAGTGGCATGTGCTACATTCACATTGTTGTGCGACCTTCACGACCATCCATGCCCAGAACTCATTTCACCTTGCAAAACTAGGACTGTGTCCCCATTAAATACTAACTCCCCACTCCTCCCCTCCCTCAGCCCCTGGCCCCCACCATTCTACCTTCTCCACGACTGTGACCGCTCTAGGAACGGCACGTAAGTGGAATCATGTAGCATTTGTGCTTTTGTGACTGGCTTATTTCATTTAGCATCACGTCTTCAAGGTTCGTCCACGGTGTGGCAGGTGCTAGAATGACATTCCATTGTACCATATACCATTTTGTTTAGCCATTCATCTGTCGGTGGACACTTGGATTGCTTCCATTTTTTGGCTATCATGAATAATGCTGCTATGAACATGGGGGTAAAAATGCCTCTTTCAGACCCTGCTTTCAATTCTTTTGGGTAGATACCCAAGAACTGGATATGATAATTTGATTTTTAATTTTTTGAGGAACCACCTACTTTTGTCTATAGCGTTCCATCATTTTATACTCCCACCAACAGTGCACAGGGTTCCAAATTCTCCACATCCTCATCAACACTTTTTCCTTCCTTCCTCCCTCCCTTCCTTCCTTTTCTTTCTTTGTCAGTAGCCATTCTAAGGGGTGCAAGGTGGTAAATGAATAAACTGAACGGTGGCAAACTGAATAAATGCACAAAAGGACTTTTGCCCTCTGAGCATCAGTTGCCCCATCTATAAAATGGGAATAAAAGGGTGGGGGGATGGGTTAGCCTGGTGATGGGTATTGAGGAGGGCACGTTTTGCATGGTGCACTGGGTGTTATGAACAAACAATGAATCATGGAACACTGCATCAAAAACTAATGATGTAATATATGGTGATTAACATAACAATAAAAAAACAAAAAAAAATGGGAATAAAAATGGTAACTTCTACTATCACTACTAGTAAATGCAAGTTACTGAATGAATAAGTGAGTGGTGAATGGGGTGTCACTGAAAACAGGGTGGTCAGGCAAGGCCTCTCTGAGGTGACACTGGAGCTGAGATGTGCCAGTGATGGACATAACCTGGGGGAGGAGTGTTCACTCACTGAGCACACAGATCCTAAAGCAGGGATTCGCTTGGCAGGTTAGAGAAAGAGAGGAAAGGCCAATGAGGCAGGCGCCCAGAGAGGGAAGAGGGTGGCCACAGGAATAGCCATGGTGAGCTTGTGTGTGTCGGGTGCCATTCTGAGCTCTTCCTGGACAAACTGAGGCCTGGAGAAGTGAAGTGACGTGCCCAAGGCAGCACAGAGAGTGGGTGACCACCGCTGGGGCTGGAACCAGGCAGTCTGACTTGAGTTTTCAACACCTCTCTATGCTGCTGTCGTTGCTGCTTTACAAACTGTTCTTTTGGGGGTTATAACTTATATACTATAACATTCCTCCACTGGGATCAGTTGGATGATTTTTAAAGTAAATCGGTATAACTGTGCACCCGTTACCACAATGCAGTTTTAGAACATTTCCATCACCCCCCAAAGTTCCCTGTTGCCCCTCTGCCGTCAACCCCCGCCCCCATCCCCGGCATCAGGCAGCTGACCCACCGCTGATTCTAGAGTTTTGCCTTTTCTAGAAATTTCACAGAAATGGGATCAGGCGATATGTACTTGTATCTGGCCTTCCCTCCACATAAGGCTGCGACCACATAAGGTCGCACACTATTCCGTGTCGTAGTGTGGGTCAGCAGTTCATTCTTTTCATTGCTGGATAGTACTGTGTGTGTAAATGTACCACATCCAATTTGGGGCTATTCCAGATAAAGAGGCTCTAAACATTTGCATATGAGTCCTTGTGTGGATATATGTTTTCGTTCCTTTTTCTTTTCTTTTCTTTTCTTTTTTGAGTATGTTTTACTTTTCAAAGACATGGCCAAAGTGTCTTCCAAGTGACTGTACCATTTCACAAACCTACTAGCAGCGTATGAGATTTCTAGCTTCTTCAGCACTTGGCATTTTCAGTCTTTTTGATCATAGCCACTCTAGTAGGTATGCAGTGGTATTTCCTTGTGGTTTTAGGTAGTGTTTGTCCAATGATTAACCATGTCGGGCATCTTTTTATGTGCTTATCAGCCATTCATATATCTTTTTAGATGAATATCTATTCAAATCTTTGGCCCATTAAAAAGAAAGTTAGGTATGTCCTCTTAAAATTTAGTTGTAAGAGTTTCTTATATACTCTGGACACAAGTCCTTTATCAGATACACGATGTGCAGATATTACCCCCAAGTTGGTAGCTTGTCCTTTCATTTACTTTATGGTGTCTTTTGAAGAGCAGAAGTTTTTTTTTTTTTTTTTAATCAATATCCTCCTTATGGATCTTGCTTTCACTGATTAACCCAAGGTCAGATTCTTTCCTATGTTTTCTTCCAGAAATTTTATAGTTTTAGCTCTATGATCTAAGTTAATTTTGTGTGTATGGTATGAGGTAAGGGTCTAAATGAATCTTTTGCACATGGATATCCAACTGTTCCAGCACCCCTATAAAAAGTTTATTCTTTCCCTCACTGAATTACTTGGCACCTTTGCCAAAAATTAAGTGACAATGTGAGAGTTTATTTCTGGACTCTGTTCCACCGATGGATCTAGCCCATACCAATTCCATCCTGACCCGATTACTCTAAGTTCTGAAATCAGGCAGCATAAGTTTTCCTTTTGTTCTTCTTTTTCAAGATTGTTTTGGCTTCTATGTATAAACTTAGCATTTACATATCAACTTGAGAATAAGCTCGTTGATTTCTCTTGGCCAGAAGGAAGTGACACGTTTTTCAACCCAGAATCCTACATCCTGAGAAAATATCCTTCAGGAATGAAGGGAAAATCAAGACATTCTCAAATGAAAAACTAAGAAAATCTGTCACAGCAGACATACTCTGAAAAGATGAGAACAGGAAGTTCTTGACACAGACAGGAAATTTTATTTTTTTTAAAGATTTTATTTATTTTTCAACAGAGAGAGAGAGAGAGATAGCGAGAGAGGGAACACAAGCAGGAGGAGTGGGAGGGGGAGAAGCAGGCTTCCTGCTGAGCAGGGAGCCCGATGTGGGACTTGATCCCAGGACGCTGGGATCATGACCTGAGCCGAAGGCAGACGCCTAACGACCGAGCCACCCAGGCACCCAACACAGACAGGAAATTTTAAAAAGGACTCTTGGAACATCAGGAGGCAGAAAGAAAAAAGAAAAAAGTAAAAATATGGGTAAATAAAGTCTCCTTTCTGTATGGTTATGCCAACCAACTCAATATGCAGTTAGGTCTATAAAAGTTTGCTATCAAATTTTAGGAGTTTTCAAATGTGTTTTATAATTATCTAAAAATATTGAAATGGCTCCAAAGTCAAATCTACAAAATGAACCATACCCATATCCAGGGGTGAGAAGGATTCTGTGCTGGGCACCCAGACGGGTTCTGTAATGCCTGCTGGGGAGAGGTAGGGCCAGGGAAGGCTTTCCGGAAGAAGTGACACCTAAACTAATCTCTGAAGGATGAGTTGGAGCCAGCCAGGTGAAGAGAGGAAGGACCGGGAACATGGCCACACCTGGGCATCCTCACCTGATCTCCAACACAGGGAGGCTTATCCAAGGACCAGAACCCACAGAATTTGTCCACAATAGTGTGGCACGCTGAGATCCCATTCTGTCCTCAGTGGCCTGTTCGGACAGGTCCACAGAAGGTCTAGGCCAGCCTGTTCCATTCTAGATCATTTTTGGGGCCATGGTTACCATGGTGACCCTACCTGCTAAAGCTTAGAAACATACCTGCCCTCTGAAGAGTCTTGGCCACAGGGTTTTCTGTTCTGATTTCTCTTTTCTTTTGTGTCAACCTTCTGAATGACAACTTTGGACAGGTTTAAAAACAAACAGGCCGCAGTCTGGTCCCTTGGTATTCTTTCTCCCAAAGAGCCTCTTGTTTGTTTTCGTTCTGTGACCCAGGGGCAACCGAAGAACGGACAGCTGAACAAACTGCAGTGTGCCGAGGGCAGTCCCAGGCCCCTGCAGGGAGACAGCCATCCCATGCCTGAGGACCCGGGAGGATGGGGGCACGTGGCCCCAGATATCTTGTGCCACAACATGTGGTCTCTGGAGGGTTTTCGAAATGGACCGCCTTGAGCTGGAATGTTGAACACCAACTTCTTGCCTCCATCCGGCTGGGGGAGTGCCCACAGGAGGGCTGGGGAAGGCAAGGGCAAGATGAGGAAGAAGTCCTCTCTTAAGGTGAAGGTGCAGGTCCTGCTAGGGGTCCCCCAATATCCATTCACCCCTTCTGTCTCGTGTCAAAAGAATCTCTGCTTTTAAGCTGGGCACATGCCTGATTAGAATAAACACTATTTCCCCCAGCTTCCCTTGTGGAGGGTGTGGCCGTGTGATGAGGTCTAGTCAAGGGGAGGGTAATAAGCTCATGTGTGCAATTTCCTGAGTATGCCCTTACAGGGCAAGGGTGAAGCCTCCCTTTCCCTGTGAAATATGGTCATCTTGGGTCACACGGCTGGGACCCCTGCCACACTGGCAGACCAGAACCACCATATCAGCAAAACAATTTTCAAGTGGGTATTTATCCACTTCTTTGGCAATACATTTCCTAGTGAAATGTATCACCACGACAGGCATTGTTGAGGATACG